TCTCCACCCCTCTCACCCACTCCAACCTCTCCCCTGCAGAACGTGCAGCCCTCCGCTCCCTCCGCTCCAATCCCAACCTCACCATAAAACACGCGGACAAGGGAGGCACAGTTGTAGTATGGCGCACTGACCTCTACATCGCCGAGGCCAGACGCCAACTCTCCGACACCTCCTCCTACCACCCCCTTGATCATGACCCCACCCCTGAGCACCAAACCATCATCTCGCAAACGATCCACAACCTCATCACCTCAGGTGACCTCCCACCTACGGCCTCCAACCTCATCGTTCCCCAACCTCGCGCTGCCCGCTTCTATCTCCTTCCCAAAATCCACAAACCTGACTGCCCTGGTCGACCCATTGTCTCCGCCTGCTCCTGCCCCACCGAACTGATCTCCAACTATCTGGACTCCATTTTCTCCCCCTTGGTCCAGGAACTCCCTACCTATGTCCGTGACACCACCCACGCCCTCCACCTCCTCCAGAACTTCCAATTCCCCGGTCCCCAACACCTCATCTTTACCATGGATGTCCAGTCCCTCTACACCTGCATTCCCCATGCAGATGGCCTTAAGGCCCTCCGCTTCTTCCTGTCCCGCAGGCCCGACCAGTCCCCCTCCACTGACACCCTCATCCGCTTAGCCGAACTCGTCCTCACCCTCAACTTCTCTTTCAATTCCTCCCACTTCCCACAGACAAAGGGGGTAGCCATGGGTACCCGCATGGGCCCAAGCTACGCCTGCCTCTTTGTAGGTTACATGGAACAATCCCTCTTCCGTACCTACACCGGCCCTAAACGCCACCTCTTCCTCCGTTACATTGATGACTGTATCAGCGCCGCCTCGTGCTCCCACGAGGAGCTCGAACAGTTCATCCACTTCACTAACACCTTCCACCCCAACCTTAAGTTTACCTGGACCATCTCTAACACCTCTCTCCCCTTCCTGGACCTCTCTGTCTCCATATCGGGGAACCACCTTGAAACCGATATTCATTTCAAGCCCACCGACTCCCACAGCTACCTAGAATACTCCTCCTCCCACCCACCTTCCTGCAAAAATGCTATCCCCTATTCCCAATTCCTTCGCCTCCTCCGCATCTGCTCCCAGGATGAGGCATTCCACTCCCGTACATCTCAGTTGTCCTCGTTTATCAAGGACCGTAACTTCCCCTCCTCGGTGGTCGAGAACGCCCTCAACCGTGTCTCCCACATCTCCCGCACCTCATCCCTCACACCCCGTCCACGCAATAAAAACCAAAAAAGAATCCCCCTCGTCCTCACGTACCACCCCACCAACCTCCGGATCCAACGCATCATCCTCCGACACTTCCGCCATCTGCAATCCGACCCCACCACCAAAGACATCTTTCCCTCCCCACCCTTATCTGCTTTCCGGAGGGACAACTCTCTCCGTGACTCCCTTGTCCGCTCCACACTCCCCTCCAGCTCCACCACACCCGGCACTTTTCCCTGCAACCGCAGGAAGTGCTACACCTGCCCCCATACCTCCTCCCTCACCCCCATCCCAGGCCCCAAGAAGACTTTCCACATCAAGCAGATGTTCACCTGCACATCTGCCAATGTGGTATACTGCATCCGCTGTACCCGGTGTGGCTTCCTCTACATCGAGGAAACCAAGCGGAGACTCAGGGACCGCTTTGCAGAACACCTACACTCGGTTCGCAATAAACAACTGCACCTCCCAGTCGCGAACCATTTCAACTCCCCCTCCCATTCCTCAGACGACATGTCCATCCTGGGCCTCCTGCAGTGCCACAACGATGCCACCCGAAGGTTACAGGAACAGCAACTCATATTCCGCTTGGGAACCCTGCAGCCCAATGGTATCAATGTGGATTTCACAAGTTTCAAAATCTCCCCTCCCCCTACCGCATCCCAAAACCAGTCCAGCTCGTCCCTGCCTCCCTAACCTGTTCTTCCTCCCACCTATCCCCTCCTCCCACCTCAAGCCGCACCTCCATCTCCTACCGACCAACCTCATCCCGCCCCCTTGACCTGTCCGTCCTCCCTGGACTGACCTATCCCCTTCCTACACTCACCTTTACTGGCTCCATCCCTGCCTCTTCGACCTGTTTGTTTCCTCTCCACCTATCCTCTCCTCTATCCGCCTCCCACTCTCTCCCTATTTATTTCAAAACCCCCTTCCCCTCCCCCTTTTCTGATGAAGGGTCTAGCCCGAAACGTCAGCCTCTCTGCTCCTATGATGCTGCTTGGCCTGCTGTGTTCATCCAGCCCTGCACCTTGTTGTCTTTCTGTCTCTGCCTGTTGGTCTGCCTCTCTCTTGCTCTTCCTCTTTCTCTCTCTTTCTCCCACTTCCTGTCTCAGATTCCCCCTCTCTCTTCCTTCTACTCCCGTCTTTCTTCCTTAAGCTGTCTTGAACTCTTCCATGTCACACTGCTGGAGCACCATGAGGGTCTCCCTTTCCTGCTTCACTTGTTTCACTGACTGCTAATGATCTTGTGGTGCTATAGAGGTTCTCCTGATGGCTTGGCCAATATTTGTTCCTCAATTAACATCATCAAAACTGATTAAACAGGTAGTTATCTCATTGTTTTGACAGTGTCCTGTGAATAAGTTGGTTGTTTCTCAGTGACTGCACTTCAGCAATAATCCAAGAAAGGAATATTTCAAGACAATTTCACTGAACAATTCTGTGCTGGTCCCTGTATTTCATTCATTTTATTTCCCTTTCTGGACACCAATAGGTATTTGCAAAGTAGGAATTCTTCCTTAATTTAATTGGCTGATTCTATTCAAACAGACGAACAAGAAACAGAAATAGGCCATTCCACCCATTGAGCCTGCTGTGTCATTCAATAAAGATCATGGTTGATTTGAGTGTAACCTCAAATCCACATTCCTGCCTACTTCTGGTTTCCTTCTACGCCCTTATTTAACAAGAACTTATCTGCATCTGGTATAAAAATATTTAAAGATCCTGTCTTTTCATGATATGGAGGAGCCGGTGTTGGACTGGGGTGGACAAAGGCAGAAGTCACATGACACCAGGTTATAGTCCAACAGGTTTATTTGAAATCACAAGCTTTTGAAGCGCTGCTGCTTCATCAGGTGAAGTGTCCGCCTTCACCCAACAAAGGAGCTACACTCCAAAAGCTTGTGATTTCAAATAAACCTGTTGGTCTATAACCCGGTATAACCAGGTGAAGAACTGGATGAACAAATGGGCCCCATTTCTGAAGAAGGGTCCAGACCCGAAACGTCAGCTTTCCTGCTCCTCTGATGCTGCTTGGCCTGCTGTGTTCATCCAGCTCTACACCTGGTTGTCTCAGATTCTCCAGCATCTGCAGTTCCTACTATCTCTGGTCTATAACCTGGTGTCGTGTGACTCCTGTCTTTTCGGAAAGAGTGCTTCAAAGGCTGTATGAGAAATAATTTCATCTTTTTTCTGTTTTAAACAATGATTCTTTATTTTGAAAACAGAGCTCCTTAGTTCGAGATTCTCCCACGAAATGAAACTTCCTTTTCACATCTACCCTGACTAGACCCCTCAAGATCTTATATATTTCAATCAAGTCACCTCATACTCTTCTAAACTCCAGTGGATACAAGGCAATCCAGATATTAGTAAACCTTCTCTGAACTCCTTCCAACAGATTTACATTCTTTTAATAAAAGCAAAATATTGTGGGTGCTGGAAATGTGAAATAAAAACTGAAATTACTGGAGAAACACAGTAAATCTGGTAGTATTTATGGAGAGAGAAACACAGAGTTAACATTTCAAGTCTGCTATGACTGTTCTTCAGAGCTGAAAGTGTTTGGAAAATGTTGCAAAATTTTTATGCTTTGATGGGGCGGGGAAGCAAGTTGAACAATTTGTGAAGATATTCAGAGCGAAAGACAAAAGGGTTGCTAATAATGGTGAAGGGAAGTTAGATTTGTAGTAAGGATGTAAATAAAGGTATAATAAGGAGTAAAGGTGTAAAGGTGTTTGCAAAGTAGGAATTCTTCCTTAATTAAATTGGCTGACACTGTGCACAGTACTCCAGATGTAGTCTTACTACTGCCCTGTATAACTGAAGCATAACCTCACTACTCTTGTGTAAATTCCCCTCGCAATAAACTATTACATTCTATTAGCTTCCCAGTTACTTGCTGCGCCTACACACTAATATTTTGCAATTAGGCATTAAGAAACCTGGATCACCCTGCACCTCAGAGCTCTACAATCTCTAAGATTTTTTTACTCTAATGCCTATATTTCACTGTATCCAACTCCTTTACTCATATGTTTTAAAATTAATTTCAGAATGTAGGCCTCACTGGCAAGGCAGATATTTGCTATTCATCCCCATTTGTCCCATAAATCCGCAGATTGAAAGATGTGTAACCCAGACTGAGAGAAGGAATCACTAGGGTAATTTTTAACATAACAACTAATTTCAAAATTTAAGCTTTCTGATTCCAGGCGAGAAATCACCAGATTTCCTGAATCCAATTTTTGATTAGATTTGAAGGGGTGCCGTCAAGTTTAGAAACAAGATCAAGAGATGGGACATTGTCAAACCTCACATCAGGAAATTCTCCATTTCTCTAGTAAAAAAGAAAAATATTTTCTAAAATCAACCTGTTCAGGGATGTTATTATACTCCTTGAAATAGATGGGACTTGAACTCAGGTCTCTTGGTTCAGATGTAGGGATACCAGCACTGTACCACACAAAACCCTCATAATGACGATGAGATCTTTTCTAATCAATCTGTTCAGGCACAGTTCTGGAGCATGTGGGCTTGTACCTCCTAGCTCAGAGGCAGGGACATTACCACTGCACCATAAGAGTCCTGTACCACAACAAAGATGATTTTGTTTTTCCACAGAGATTTTGCACTCAAACCCCTGCAATGTTCACTGTGACTTGAATCCACATCCTTTGGTACAGGGGTAGGGCCTCAAAAAAACCACCAACTCAAAGATGATGTAACTTGTCATCATCACCTTGACCGTTCTCACAACTGGTCTCAACTCTGAATTCCCCGGGCTAAATAACTCACGGAGAATGGACAGAGCGGAGGTGCCTTCACATGAGGGCGGAATAACATTACATTGATAAAGACAATGGAGAGCTTCCCACCTTTAAAAGGGTAGATGCAGCAGGCAAGGACAGACCCTGAGAGGAAGCAGCCCATTGATCCAGCCATGCCCAGCCAGCAAGACCAGCCCCACTGATACTGGATGCCCAGGAAGATGTTCTGAATGACCAAGGTGGTTCGCTCCACATACACGTCAACAGCGTACCAAACCGAACCAATCATCCCTGGAATCCCTGTTGGATTTAGAGAAATAGTAATGTGTTAGCATTGCTCATGTCACAACATACAACCTGACATGAAGGGCTCAAGTGATGCAGTAGCAGTGTCTATGCCTTAGAGTGAGGAGAATCTAGGTTCAAATCCCATTTCGTCCAGCGGTACACCACAAGAGACCTTGACAGATAGGTTGAAGGTATCTACAAACTGACATCTTGACCACTCTTATATTTTCCTGGAAATAGGTGACATTGGTAAGGTTGCTATTTATAGACTGTTATTTCAATCACTGCACTGTTGGTGTCTGTGCTTTTAACTGCCTGGGCCAAAATCTCTGAAATATTCTCCTTAAACCTGCCTCTCATCTTTACAGCTAACATTTGACCAGACTTTTTGGTCATTTGTCCCAATGTTTTGGTGTCACCTTTCGGAGTACCTTGGAATGTTTTACCATGTTAAAAGTGTTATATAAACTCCTGTTGTATCCCTCATTGCCCTGGGAATGTGGTATTGGGCATCCTTCATTAACCATTAGCAATGGGTTTGGTACGAATGGGTGGCTTCCTTGGACAGTTCAGAGGCAGTCAATTGTTAATCATGTTATATGTGTCTGGAGTCACATATGCAAACCAACAAGTGAAGGAATAGGCCATGCAGCCCCTTGAGCCTGTTCTGCCATGACTGGTCTGATTATGCCCCATTCTCATCTACCCCAATAACTTCAAGTCAGAAGATCTAAGTCTTAGTATAGAATACAATAGAAATTTTTTGTCACATGTACTTTTACATGAAAAATACAGTGAAAAGTTTAGTAAGTCACCCCACCATGGCACCTACACCAGTGCCTGAAATCATACATTACAATTAAAAAAGTAAAAACTAAGACAAAGTTCATCACAGTTCAGTTAACGGCTCCTGGGCTCGGGGAAAGCCAATTAAGGAACAACGGAATACCCTGAAGATGCAGCTAGCCGAGACCACCATTCTGGGACAAGACCATCAAGCCAGCCAACTGGAATACTGGGCTGGATGGCTCCGCTGAAGAAGACCTCCATGCCAGGCCAAGGCGCCACTCCTGGATGAGAGTGCCTGCCCGGCTGCTGGAATACCTGGAGGTCAAAGACGAAGAGGACCTTCACACAGGGAAGAGACCTCCATGCCGGGACAGGACTGCCATGCCGGAACAAGACTACCACACCGGAAGACCGCTATGCTGTGCCAAGACCACGACTTCTCCTCTTTCAGATGCCTGGGTCTAACTGCGGACCAGGTGCCTTGGCCTAGCCTGCAAGTCCGGACCTGGGGAGTCAGCCTGGGACCTGGTCCTTACTTACAGGGAGACCCTGGGCTGGAGTGGAGCTGTGTCTGGCTTGTCCTGGTGTTGCTGCCACTGCTGCTAGAGGCATCCTCCTTCACCCGCTGTCTAGAACAATGCTCTTATCTATTGAAAATTCTCTTATACGTTAATGACAAGCTAACTCCATCCACCCCTTCTTCAATCCCATTTTCTAGATTGTCCTGATGTAATCCCATGAACCGAAGCAGGTGCTGATCTTCCCACTTGGTAAAGAACTCAGTGAATGTGAAATTCAGATCAACCTGGAGCCTTTCTCACTTCCTGAAATGTTGAGGCTGGCAGGAGCTGCTCTGCAGATTCCCTCGGTGTTTCTGTTTTAGTTCAGAAACTTTAGCATATCATCAATGATGTGTAGAATAGTGATCAGTTAGGACCATATTGAGTGGTGGAGCAGGCTGAATAGGTGGTATGATCTACTCTTGCCCCTATTTCTTGTGTTCCTGTGTTCTGCCACAGCAGTGCAGTACTGGATTATTAGTGTCATTGTCATTAGAGATTTTATCATACATCTTCCCCCTCAGGTGGATATAAAGAGATTTTTGTGAAAAGTTATTATTTCACTGAATGTTGGGGGTGAAGCACTTTGTTGCCCATCCTTAATTGCTCTTGAACTGAGTGACTGGCTGGGCCATTTCAGAGAACACTTAACATCCCATGACACTATCTTGGAGAAGAGTAGGGAGCTCTGTCCGGAGCCCTGGCCAATATTTCTTCCTCAATCAACTGAACAAAAACAGATTATCCAGTTATTATCACATTCCTGATTTGAAAGACCTGATTACAGCAATTCCAAAACTCAGAAGAAGTGATGGCATAGTTGCTTTGTTGGTCAACTAATAATTCACAAACCTAAAGGGGATCTGGGGCAAACCACACCATGGTGGAATCAATCAAATCTGATGCTATGAAATAATTGCTGTGAGAACCCACCTAGTTCACGGTGAATGCAACAAAAATAGGTGAGAAGTCAAGTAGTGAGGATGACATAAGAAGTCTAGGGGTATAAATAGGCTATGCAAATGAGCAAAAGCTTTGTATGTGGAATACAATGTGACAAAATGTAAGGTTATGCCAATTTGGCAGGAAGAATAGAGGAGCTGAATATTATTTAAAGACTGCAGAATGTTGCAGTACAGAGGGATTTAGAGTTGTGCATGAATCATAAAAAGCTAACATTGAAGTTCAGCAGGTAATAGGGAAAGCTAACGGAATGTTGGCCCTTATTTCAAAGAGAATGGAGTATAAGTATAGGGAGGTCTTGTTAAAAATATGCAAGACATTTGTTAGACCATATCTGGAATCCTGTGAACAGTTTTCGTCACTTTATCTAATGGAAGATATACTGGCATTGGAAGCACTCCAGAAAAGGTTCATCAGATTGATTCCAGATATGGAGGTATTAGCTTGTGAGGAGAGTTTGAGTAAGTTGAGCTTGCTATAATTGAAGTTTAGGAGAAGAACAGAAAACCTTATCGAAACATAAGATTCAAAGGGCACTTGACTGGATAGATGCAGAAATGTTGTGAGAGAGTTTAGTACCAGAGGGCATAGTCTCAGAATAAAGAGTCACACATTTAAGGCAGATGCAAAGGAATTTCTTCTCTTAGCAGGTAGTGAATCTACAGCATTCTTACTGTAGAGGACTGTTGAGGCCAAGTTATTAAGTATATTCAAGGGTAGGTGACGCAGGTTTTTAATCAGTAAGAAAATCAAGGATTACAGGGAAAAGGCAGTAATGTGGAGTTGAGGATTACCAGATCAGCCATGACCTCATTGAATGGTGGAGTGGATTCAAAGGGCGAATTGACCTGCTTCTGATCCTACTTGTTATGGAAGGAAATCTGCCATCTTTACATGGTCTGGCCTCCAGCAATGTGCATGACTCTAGACTGCACTCTGAAATGGTCTGACAAGCCATTCAATTTTATCAACCTTCTATGACGTCGCATAAGAAGAATGAAACTGGGCTCGCTTAAGCACCACAAATGACAGCAGCAATTACAGCTGTATCAACCCTGCAAATTTCTTCTTACGTCTATAGCCTAGTGCTAAAATTAGGAGGACTGTCTCACAGACGACCTGACATATTCATACTCACTGCATCGCACTTTTCATACAATATCTTAGACAACACCATCATCTTCTCTGGGTATATCCTGCCCCATTGGCAGACCCAGCAGAAGTGTGGCACAGTGGCATACAATGAGAAAGGAATTATTCTGGGAAACCTCAACATTCACTCCAGATCCCATGAAGTATCATGATACCAGATGAAATATGGCAATGAAATCTCCTGATTACTACAAACCATGCCCCTTTGGCTGACAAATCAGTTCTCCTCCATGTTTAATAATACTTGGAGGACTCATTTCCAAAGTGGCTTGTTTGATTAGTGCCATATCAACAAAAATGAACCATCAATGCTCTGTAGCAGCAGTGTGTGCCATCTCCAAAGCGCACTGCAGAAATTCAGCAAGGCTCCTTCCAAACCTATGACTACTACCATCTAGAAGGACAGGGGAAGCAGGTACATGGGAACTTGACTGCCACATGTTCCTCTCCAAACCACTCTCCATCCTGACCTGGAAAGAAATTGTCATTCCTTCAGTGTCACTGAGTCAAAATCCTGGCACTGCCTCCCTAAGGGCATTGTGAGGATATCTACATGCAGTTGGTCAAGAAGACAGCTCACCACTATCTTCTCAAGGGCAACTAGGGATGGAAAATAAATGCTGGTCTAGTTAGCCCACACCAAAAGTCCATTAACAGCTAATAAATTCCCCATCATGATTTGATTTTAATGCTTGGAATTTGGTGAGACCACAAATATTAGAGCGTGGTGGTTGGACTGAGATATGGGATCCAGATTATGGTTTGGAAGATCTGTGAAATCTGGAGGGGAGGACAATAGTAGAAGTTGGGGTGGTGCTAGGGTTGGGGGGGTTGGAAGACCTGTGAGTGTGGCAAAAGTGAAAGCTTTTTAACCCATCACTGGAAGCATCCATCCTTCCTTTAGTTTATTTTGGATATCACTGAGACAGACAGAATTGGCCATGCCCACTATTAAAAATTCTGAAAAACTTAAAGGAGGCACAAGATGTGAGCACTCATTTGGAACTCCACAGCAAGTCAATGTTCTCTTGGAACTCACACACGCTAAAGGTTTAGCTGCTGGCCCCAAAAGTGTGCATGACCTACAGTTTGGGAAGCACTTTCTTATGTAAGCAAATTGGATTTTTATATTTTAACCATGCCTACACTTTAGGTATACATTATTGCTTGTAATTCCTGACATTCTGAAGCTGTACACCTTAGAAATATGAGATTTTCTTCTGGTCCTAGAATGTAATTAGGCTTCTGGTCTGTAACAGATCAAGCAATTACCTCCTATCAGCAAGGTAATTCCTGCAATAAAACAAATTCTCAGTTTAATGGCTGGATTATCCTTGAGGAATTTGGTGCAGTCCAGCCCAAGGATAAGGATGATGAAGGCGAATCCAGCCAAGATATCCGCAGTGATCATCAGAGCCCGTGTCATCACCAACTTCACTGTGAGAAGAAAACAAGAGGGGTTATAGAAGCAAAGCAATACCCTTGAAAAAGACTCAATCCCTAATGAAGAGTTTAATTCCTCTAACATTTCTTGAGCATCTAATGATTTTGAGTTAATTGGAGCCATTCAAAGTTTTTGATTGTAATTTAGAGTTGGAAACGTTTTAAGAGAATTTCAGACACTGGGTACTTGCTCATCCCAAGTTTCAACATGGTCCTGACAGGTAACTCCTATCTACACTGCTGTAATGACAATCTTCCTAAGAAAAATTCTGGTGTAGGGTTTTAATATAAACAAAGGAAAATATGAAGCTATGGGGTGGGGGTAGGCAAGGATGGGATGGGGTGAGAGCAAATTGACAATTAGATTGGAAAACAGTGTTAAAATGTAAGACAATAAAGAACCAATGGTTAACATTTAAAGAACCAATATGTAATTTTGACGAACATAAATTGAGCATGTGTTCTGGCTGTGGCTTAAGTAAGTAATCAAGAATTGCATTTGATCATAATAAGAGATCTATAATGTTGCCAAAAATAGATAAACTTGAGGATTGGGAGCATTTTAGAATTTTGCAAAGGAGAACCAAGTGAAAGATTCAGAAACAGAAAATGGGATATGAGAGTAATCTGGTGAGGAACTTATGCTGTAAAAGCTTCCGCAGATGTTTTTAAAGGAAAAGATTAGCCAAAAAAAAAATGGGTCCATTACAAGCAGTCAGAAGAACTTATAAAGGACAGATAAAGAAATTATGTTAAACTAAAATAAACTGTATCTCCTCACATAGTAAAATACTAAAAACCTGTGAGAAATAATGGAGAATTTATCAACTAGAGTAAACAAGGAATTGAGAGATATTAATTGTTGTTAAAAATCGTTGGAGAAATTAATGTAACTTAAGATAAATAAATCTCCTTGACCTGATGACCTACATCCCAGAGTGTTCAAAGAGGTGACTGTAGAGGTAGTCAATGCATTGAAGTGTCTTCCAAACCTTGATTGATTCTGAAAGGTTCCTGCAGATTGGAATGCAGCAAATGTAACCCATCTTTCTCTTTTATAAAAGAGAAAGACAAAAGAGGGAACTGCAGACCTGTTAGTATGACATCAGTTGTAAGGAAAATTTCCACCACCTCTTCTGGCAGTGTATTCAGGCTCCTACCACTCTCTGCATGAAAAACTTTCCTTGCACATCGTGCTGAAGAAGGGTAATACCCAAAATGTTGACTTCTCCTCCTCCAGATGCTGCCTGGCTTGCTGTGTTTATCCAGCCTCCTGTTTGTCTCCCGTAAACTTTCCTCCTCTCACCTTGAACCTGTGCCCCCTTGTAATTGAAACTTCAACCCTAGGAAAAAGCCTCTGACGATCCACCCTATCTATGCCTCTCATAATTTTGTAGACCTCTATCAGGTCTCCTCTCAGTCCTGTCATTCCAGTGAAAACAATCCTCATCTTTTTAAACTTTCCTCATAGCCAGTGCCCTCAAGACCAGGCAACATCCTGGTGAACGTTCTCTGCACTCTCTCCACTTCTGGTAGCGTCGCAACCAAAACTGCAACGAATACTCTGAATGCAGCCTAACAAGGTTTTATAAAGCTGCAACATGGTTTGCCAACTCTTGTACTCCATGCCCCGGCCGATGAAGGCAAGCATGCCACGTGCCTTCTTAATCACCTTGGCCACCTATGTTGCCACTTTTAGGGAACTGTGGACCTGCACGCCCAGATACGTCTGTATGTTAATTTTCATAAGGGTTCTGCCATTTACAGTATAATTCACATTAAATTGATCCTCCAAAACACTCCCATTAAATGGGATTTAACTCTGGATTAGATTCCATCTGCCATTTTTGTGCCCAAGTACCAATCTATCTATATCCTGTTTTATCCTTTCATAATGGTCGGCCCTATCAGCAACTTCACCAATCTTTGTGTCATCTGCAAACTTACTAATCAGACCATTCACATTTTCCTCCAGATCATTTATATATACTACAAACAACAGAGGGCCTAGGACTGATCCCCGTGGAACACCACTAGTTACCGGTCTCCATTCTGAGAAACAGCCTTCCACCATACCTTCTGTCTTCTATGACTAAGCCAGTTTTGTATACATCTAGCCAGCCCACCCTTAATCCCATGTTTTTGTTCTTGATTTACAGCATCCGCAGTTCTTTCGGTTTTTTAGTAGATTGGACCTCTATTATGGAATTTTGAAGAATAAAAGATGATCATTGTGAAACATACAGAATTCTTGCAGTGCTCAACAGGGTGGAAGCAGGAAGAAAGTTAGCCCATGATGAGACGTCAAAAACCAGCGAAGACAATCTCAGAATAAGGAGTAGGTTTTAAGATGCTAACACTGCTGCTGGCATGTTTTAAAATGATTCTTGACCTCCAACATCTAACCATCATCTGGTCTCCGAACTAAAAATTACTATTTCTGCTTCTCTGTAACTGATTCAAAATTGGAAGTTTTGAATTAAAAATATTGGTTTTGAAAAATTAAGTGTTGCTGAAAAGGGATGTTCGGTGAAGTATATCTGAACAATTCACAAGAACACCAATTTAAGGGGAAAACAAGCATGTACTTTATGAGGCCAAAGTCCCATCTCTTGACTTGTTGGAGTTTGGGTGTTTATGCACCTATACTTGCACTTCAAAGCTGGTCCATTTCTATCTAATGATTTGAACATTTCATTCAAAATGAAGAAAGTTGGGGAGCACACTTCATGGACTGAAAAGCTGAGAAGGAAGTCCTTCATTTTACAAGGACTGCAACCCCTGTCCTAACCTATTGAAGGAGATAGTGCATCAAACATGGCTTCTCCCTGCCCCAGACAGGCATCTAAAATAACTTCACAGAGGCTGGTATCGGTCACCAAGTCACCCTTTATTTACACATAGGGAGTCCTTGACACTGATCCAGCTCCCTTACATCCAGCTCTCAGAGTGAGCAAAACCCCTTATACTCTTGTCTATATCTGTCAGCCAGGGCTTCCGGATTGGACCAGATTAACAGCCCCAATCAGGGAACTCATATTCTGTGAGGTCTGCCTGACTGCCCTTGTTACAATCACAACACATCTCTATCCAAGTTCTCCAATGAATATCACTTTGAATCTCTAGGCCACCAGGTTCCTCCTGTCAGCAGTGAGGAATGAACTCCACCCCTACTTCAGTCTCCACTCTCTGCATCTGACTTGGAGTCTCTACATTGCACTAAGTGCAGCAAGAGGACAAGGCAGTGCTGAGGATAGCAAGGACCCATTGACTGCACTCACATCATTGGTTATACACTTGCAGCATTCAACCTATACATGATCAAGTGTCAACAATATTCATATAATAGGAACAGAAATTGCTGGAGAAACTTAGCTGGTCTGCTTTCAGAACTAAAGATTACTGGATTGTAAACATTAATTTTGCTTTCTCTTCACAGATGCTGCCAAACCTGCTGAGTTTTTCCAGTAATTTCTACTTCATTTCAGATTTACAGCACCCACAGTTTATTGTATTATTTTAATATTCATATAATGTTGAATCCCCAGCCAGGAAGCTGTCCGATACATCAAACACATATCAGTACTTTGATGGAGTTATGAAAATTAATCTTACTCCCCTGCTTTCATTTATCAAATTCCCTTTGAAAGTTAATAATGAATCTGCTTCCACCATCCCCTTTGAGTAGCGCATTCCAGATCACAACAACTAATTGAGGATATCAATAGGTTGTGCTGACACAATTTGGAGTTATGAAGAATGTAAAATGATTATATTGAAACATATAAGATTCCAAGGGCATTTGACAGTCTGGATGCTGATAAGATGTATCCCTTTATAAGGGGATCTCACACTATGGAGGAATGCTTCAAAACAGGGAATCTGCTGTGTGATGGAGAGAAGGAGAAATTTCTTCTCTTGGAAGCTGGTCAAATTTTGGAATTCTCTTCACTAGATGGTGGAGAGGGCTGGGTCATGATGTATTTTCAAGGCTGAGTTAGACAGCTTTTTGATTGGCGAGGAAATCACCAGTAATGAGAGACAGGCTGGGAAGTGGAATTAAGACCACAATGAGATTAGCCATTATTTTGATGAATGCTGGAACAGGGCCGATGGGCCAATTGGCCTTCTCCTGCTCCTGGCTCTCATGCATTTCTGGTCTTACATCTTGAATATTCCCTAAATGTTTATTTCAACTCATGGGAAGTAAGGATTTCCATTTAGGATGTACTAGTTACTCTATGGAGCCCTCAGATATGCCTACAATAAAGCACATTTGTGAGGATGACATATAATTAAAAGGGTATTTCACGGGCGTAATTTTTCAGTGTTTTGGATCATCTTGACATGGCTTTGTAGGACAACTCAGAGTGAGTTAGCAAGGTGACCTCTGCTGTGTTGGACATTACACAGCAGAAAAAGGCTTGTTCGAAAGGAGCTACACCAACACAACTTTACTCTGTATCTACCAGACCTAGGAGTGTGTGATGTTCACACACTAGTTCCAGTCAGGTTGTCTAGTACTAAGCACTGGAGGGCAACATAAAATATGAAGAATAAGAACAAATCCTGCTGTCCAAACACTGGAATTGTTTGAAAACCAGACATGTTTAAAAGAAAAGGTTTTACTGTTGAGCCATGACACACTGACCTGAAGAGGGGTAGCCATGCTAATAGGCTGGTGATTGATGTGCTGCTTTACAATATGACATCTTGAGGGCATCTCACCTCAAAGTTAGCAAGAAATCAATTTGAATAACTGGACATTTTTGAAATGTAAACTGATCAAGCTTACTGAGTTCTGCCTGGATCAATTCTAACTTAGACCTGGTTGGCAATGCCCTCACAATACAATAAAGCTAGACATTATCAAACTTGATTAATATTGCACGAGTACTGGTCATAAACCTCATCTATTAACATAAGACCGTAGATACAGGAGTAGAATTATATCAGTTAGCCCGTTCAATCTGCTGTGCCATTTGATCATGGCTGGTATGTTAACCCTATTCTCCTACTTTCTCCCCATAACCCTTGATCCCCAAACAAAAACCCTTGACCCAGCCCGTACCCTATCCTATCCCTGAATTTCTCACCCTAGACACTATGGGCAATTTAGCATGGCCAATCCACCTAACCTGCATTTGGACTGTGGGAGGAAACCAGAGCACTCAGAGGAAATCCCTGCAGGCATGGGGAGAATATGCAAACTCCACACAGACAGTTGCCTGTGGCTGGAATCGAACCCAAATCCTTGGTGCTGTGAGGCAGTAGTACTAACCACTGAGCCACCATCTAGGTGATTTATCTACCTTCAGACCTTTCAGTTTCCCCAGCAGTTTCTCCTTAGTGATGGCCACTACATTCACCTCTGCCCCCCAACTCTTTTGAATTCTGGTATGCTACTGATATTTTCCATTATGAAGACTGATGCAAAGTACCTGTTCAGTTCCTTCACCATCTCTTTGTTCCCTATTACTACTTCTCCAGCCTCATTTTCAAGCAGTCCAATGTCCACTCTTGCCTCTCTTTTACTTTTATATCTCTTAAAAAAAATCTCCTGCAATCTTCTTTTACATTACTAAAACTTACCATCGGACTTCATCTTCTTCTCCCTTAATGTTTTTTGCTTTTTTAGTTGTGACTAACTGTGATTGAACCTATTGCACGCCAACAAAGAATGTTATTTTGAACAACTTGCCAGGCTGGATTTGCAAAATCAAGGAAAATCTGAAATTTAGAATGATCACGGTCCTGAGTGTTTTCGATATTGTACGTCTATGATCATAGTCTCACCTTTCTACATCTCTGTAACCTGTTGTAGCCCTCCAACCCTTTCAGATTGCTACATCCTCCAACTCTGGCACTTTGAACATCCCATTGTTAATTGTGCTATCATTGATGGTTGTGGTTTCAGATTCATGTTCCCCAAACCCTAGAATTTCTACTACAATTATTCTGCCTCTCTTTCCTCCTTTAAGACACTTGTTCAAGACTATTGCTATGACCATCTGTTGAGTGTAAAATCAAACCAATCATGTTTGTTTTGTCCCTCAGGGAAGGTATAAATTTTTAAAATTGTCTTTCAAGTCAAAACAGTGAGAATTGGGTTGCAAATTTTTCATTCACAACCCAGCATCTAATGCCCTAAGGACAGCTTCAGACACTTTATTTTACCTGTTAATTCAGCAGCATCATTCACGTTCTTGGGTTGAAACCCAGTGAATTACAGAATCTACGGAAGAGGTAAAGCTACCAGAGAGGGAAATAATCTCTTGGGGTAGTGTAGACAGAGATTTACTCTTTATCTAACCCTTGCTAACCCTGTCTTCGGAATGTTTGATGGAGACATGCAGAGGGAGATTTATCTGGATCGAAATCTATCCTGTACCTGCCCTTGGAAGGTTTGATGGGAACAGTTTATAGGGAGTTGTACTCTGCATCTAACCCCATGCTGACCCTGTGTTGAGAGTGTTTGATAGGGACAGTGTGGAGGAGCTTTAGCTTCTGTTTAAAAGAGTAGCGAGAGCTTTACTTCCAGTTTAATAGAGTAGTGGAGCTTTCCTCTGTATTAAACCCTGCGTTGCCGTATCCTGGGAATGTTTGATGGGCACAGTCTGCAGTTTAAAAGAGTAGAGAGAGCTTTACTTTCAGTTTTAAAGAGTAGAGGGAACTTTTCTCTGAATATGACCCTGTGCTATCCCTGTCCTGAGAGTGTTAGATGGAACCAGTGTGAAGGGAACTTTCCTTTCAGTTTGAAAGACTCATGCTTTCTTTACTCTGTATCTAATCCCATGCTGTACAAGTATTGGGAGTGTTTGATGGGGACAGTGTAGAGAGAACTTTACTCTTTATTTAACTTCATGCTGTACCAATATTGGGAGTGTTTAATGGGGACTTGTAGAGGAAGTTTTACTCTGTATCTAACTCTGTGCTGTACCTACCCAATATTGATGGGGAATGTGTAGAAAGACCTTTACTCTGCATCTAACAGCCCTGGGAGTGTTTGATATTTACACACTGGATCCAAATAGGTTGTCTTCTACCAGATATTGACATCCATCATTTTGACATGGAAAGAAATGAGTTTTGTATGTTATTTTGCTAATCCCTGATTCGCCTCCCACAATGAGCTTCTTCAAGCTAATGCAAAGAATTAGAGGCTTGAAATTGTTCTGTCACAAAATGACTCTTCCATAAAAATGAATGCAACTGGATTAAATTTCCTTATTTTCTGTAGATTATTTGATATTGCGCAGGTTTATCATTGTGTAAGGTATTTTGGACACTGCAGCAACTTTGCAATGATGTGTCATGGAGCTTCTCATCACTGGGCGTAAATAACAGAGGAGAGAAAGAGAGAAAAAAACATCAACTTCAAGATTAATGTTGTTCTTGTTGTTTAACCTTTTCAGATCTGCTACTCGTGTTGTGATGCAAGGCTGGAAGGAGATCCTAGAGGTCAGTCATCTCAGCTCCAGGACATCTCTGGAGGAGTTCCACAAGGGAGTGTCCCAGACTCAGTTATCTTCAGGTCCTCATCATGAGGTCAGAATAGGAATATTTACTAATAATTGCACAATGTTCAGTTCTGTTTTCAATCCGCAGTTCGTGCCCACATATAGCGAGACCTGAACAGCATTCACACTTGGCTGATAACTGGTTAGTAATATTCATACACACACCAGGCAGTGACCATCCCTAACAAGAGAAAAATCTATTCACTCCTTGACATTACCATCACCAACTCCAATATGATCAACACCCTAGTGGCTACCATATATTTAATGTGGCTGCAAGATCAGGTCAGACACTAGGAATTTTGCTGTGAGTAATTCACCTCATGACTCTCCAAAGTCTATCCACTATCTCTGAGGCATAAATCAGGAGTATGATTTTCTTTGGGCATCACTGTCTGAGCCAATCACTAATCACCACTTGAATTGACTGGTTAAGGCCATTTCAGAGGGCAGTTAAAGAGTCAATCACATTTCTGTGGGGCTGGAGTCACATGAAGGCCAGACCTATTAAGGATGGCAGATTTCCTTCTCTAAAGGGATTACATGGTCACCATCATGCTAGCTTTTAATTCCTGATTTTTATTGATTCCAATTTCACCACTGGCCACATAGGGATTTGAACCCATATCCCTACAGTATTAGTCTGGGTCTCTGGATTACTAGTCCAGTAACAATACCATTATGTCACCATCTCCACAGAATGGAATAGCATCCCTGCCCTGCCCAATTACCTGGATGAGTGCAGCTTCCACAACACTCAAGAAGCTGAACACCATTTGCAATGAAATAGGTTGCTGATGGTGTTGACATCCTATCCATTACCTCCAGCATTCTTTCTGGATGTACAATACATATTATAATCAAGCTGGAACTCAGTTCTTAACAGCAATGTTGATATACCTATTCACTGATGGACTGCGCAGTTCAAGAAGGTAGATCACCACTTTCTTTTGAAGGACAATTATAGATGACTAATAAATGCTAGCCTTGCCAGTGACGGTTACATGACATTAAGGAAGTGAAGGAAACTTGTCTTTGTAGTATTAATGATATTGCTGCCGGACTCCAAGATGGGTTTTACTTTCATAAAGAATGATGAACACATTTGGACAGGTGCATAAATAGGAAAGATTTAGAGGAATATGGGCCAAATACAGGCAAATGGAACTAGTTTAGTTTGGGAAACCTGGTTGGCATGGATGAGTTGGTCTGTTTCCCCGCTGTATGACAATATGACTCTATAACTCTGATTGCACTGATGGTTGAAAAATATTGAGGGGAACAGTCTTATTGGAAATGTTCTGATCATGTCCAGAGGAGTTTGAGGGGTAACTCCACATTCCACATGGTGAATGGGTTCAAGCAGAATATGGTTTGGAGAATTTATTCAATTTCCAACTATGCTCCTTTTCAGTATCAAGCCATTCTGTCACTGTGGAATCCCCTTGATAGACACTGGAAAATGGTATTGGATAGAGGAGTAAATTTGTTATCAGTAAAGCAGATGATATCCACAAAGGTAAAGCAGAAAACTGATCAGCAAGTACTCACAGGGAAGGTCAGACAGAATTGAATCGTAGTCATCGCATGTTCGAATCCCATCTACTGTACTTGTGACACATTCCCACCAGAGCCCTCGGCATTTCTGGCTCACCTGAGCGAACAAAATGCAAAAACTAAGAATAAAAGCTGAACATTAAATGAATCCAAAATGAACTAACCTATCTGAAATGGGATAAGGATGGTTATCAACTGAGGATATGTCATGCGTCCTCTGCAGGAGTTCCTTAAGGTAATGTCCTGGGCTCAACCATCTTCAGCTGCTTCAACAATTACTTTCACAATGTCGGTGTGAGAGGATCACTGATGATTGCCCAATGTTCAGTATCATTCGCAATTTCTGAGATTCTAAAGCAGTCCGATTCCAAATGCAACCCAGACAACATTCAATCTTCAGCTGATAAGTGGAAAGTAGTTTTCATGCTACACTCATGTCAAGCAACAAGCATCTCCAACAGGAGCAAATCTAACCATCTCCCTTTGGCATTTAATGCTATTAGCATCATTGAATTCCTGGTGGTTACCATTGACCAGAAACTGAACTGGACTAGACATATAAATATTGTAGCTATGAAAGCAGATCTGAGGCTAGGATGTCAGCAGTGATTAACTCAACTGCTGACTCCACAAACCTTGTCCACTATCTAGAATGCAAAAGTAGAAGGTGTGTGGAATGCTTTCCACTTTCCTGGGTGAGTGCCACTCTAACAACACTCAAGAAACTTAACAGCATCCGGGAAAAAACAGTTTGCTTGATTGGCACCCCATCCATCAGCTTAAACACTTGCCTCCTTCACAGTGTCAAGATGCACTGCAGAAATGCACCAAGTCTACTTCAGCACCACCTTCCAAACCCATAATCATTTCTGTCTAGAAGGACAAGGGCAGCAGATACATGAGAACACCACAACCTAGAAGTTCCCCTCCAAGCCACTCTGCATCATGACTAAGAAATATTTTGACATTCCTTCAGTGTTACTGGGTCAAAGTCATACAGTTCCCTGGCTGACAGCATTGTGAGTGTACCTGCACCACATGGACTGCATCAGTTCATTAAGGCAGCTTCCCACCATCTTCTCCAGGGCATTTAGGGGTGAGCAGCAAACTTTGGCCCCAGCAATAAAGACCACATCTCATGAAAGAATATTTTCTTTTCAAAAAGAACAACGATTTGTTTTTAGGTTATAGAATCAGTATTGACTAGGTCACTGGGGACCACTCAGCCTCTTTTCTTTGCTCAGTGTCATGGGATGTTTAATGTCCACCTGAAAGAACTGGCAGGCCATACTTTGCTAACTCATCCTAAAGATGGCACCTCCAATAAGGTGGCACTCCCTCAATACTGCTCTGGGAGTGGTGCATTAAATCATATGCTCAGTGTCTCACGTGGAGCTTGAATTCACATTTTTTGATGCTAAGACAAAAGGGGACCTTGAGTGACACATGGAATGAATTTGTTTGAAAAATAGTCATACATCTGTGGGAATTGTAGGCATTCCTGGAGAAGAGGTGACAGACTGCATGGGAAGGGTCATATAATCAAATAACTATCTAGGAACCAAGGGGTGAAATCACATTCTGTCATGTTGAGAACAGTTTAAAATTTGAGAAATAAATAATCTTCCACTGGTAAAAGTGACTATGAAGCTGGAAGGTTTCCACAAAATACCAACTGCTTAATTCTTCTCCTTTATCATAGAATCTGTTGTCCTGACCTTGTCCAAGCTGATGTGTGAAACCAGGTGATGTGCGGTGGCTGCAGAATGTGCGAGCACATGGACATGTGTTCCAAGGTAAACACATCTGCATTACGTGACTGTGGCCAACTTCAGCTCAAAGTCATTGAAACAATGGCCAATCTGCAGCCACTGTGACACATCAGAGAGGGCGCAAGTTTCCAAGATGCTTTTTTCCTCAGAGGGGATAAGGTGGTCTGATTTTGTCCCTATTCAAGGACAGGAAGACGTGACTGTGAGTGTGGTAGGTATGGCATTTGAGAAGCTACATGTGGAGGAACCTCAGCTTTTGTTATTATTCAACAGGCTCAGGGTACTTGCAGCCTGTATGTATAAAAGCTAGAACATCATGAGCATTTTTGCTCCTCTTAACTAAGAAAGATATATCGGCATTGGAGGCAGTCCAGAGAATGTTTACCAAGCTGAACCTGGGTAAAGAGAGAATTTCTTATTTTCTTTTCTTATCAATGGAGCAATGAGAGGTCAGCAGATCAAGATGTAGAATCAGTTTGGGTGAAGCTTGAAAAAATTCAAAGGGCAGGGAACATTGCTGGGAGTTGATTATAGGCCATCAGACAGTGGTGACAATGTGGGACATAGTATAAATCTAGAAATTCAAGGTGAATGGAACAGTTGTAACACAGAACCATGGTGGACTTCATTCTGTACATAGATTGACTAGATTTAACTGGCACAAAGCTATGGAGGAATGAATTCCTTGACTATTTTCTAGAACAGTATGTTGAGGAACCAAATAGAGAATGGGCTATCTTAGATTTACAATTAGGCAATGAGAAAGGGTTAATTAATAATCTCAATGTAAAGGAACCTCTAGGAAAGAGCAACCATAATATGACAAAATTTTATATTAAGTTTTAATGTGTAAAACTAGAAAATCAGAATTTCAAATCTAAACAGACATAATTATGAAAGTAATAAGGTGTGGTAAATTGTAAAACTACATTAAAAGACATTATGGTAGGCAGCCAATGGCTAGCATTTAAAATATTAATACATGATTCATAATAAATTTACACTCCCTTGAGGCACCAAAAGCCAACAGGGAAGGTGATCCAACTGTGCCTACTAAGAGAAGATAAAAATTGTATTTGCTTAAAGGAAAAACCTTACAAGGTGACCAAAATAAATGTAAACCTGACAATTGAGTGCATTTTAGAATTCAGCATAGGAGGACCAAGAAACTGATGAAGAATGAGAAAAAAGAATTACTGACCTGCTATTGTAGCCACAGTATTTATACGGCTAGTCCAGTTCAGTTTCTGGGCAATGGTAACCCCCATAATGTTGATAGTAGGGGATTCAGTGATAGTAATGCAATTAAATGTAAATGGGTGACAGTTGGATTTTGACTTGTTGGATATGATCATTCCCTGGCACTTGTATGAATGTTACTTGCCACTTGTCAGACCAAAACTGATATCGTCCAAGTCTTCCTACTTCTTGCACTGAGGCCGTGTCATAAAATGTCAAAACAGGTTGATTTTTTAAAAAATGAGGCAGTTGAAGCGTCACATCTATCCTATCTCCAACGCATTATTCTTTTCCCTCAGCTAAGGGCTCAGTTTTTCTGTTTTCATTATTATTGAAAATTGTTGCACCGACAACACTACTCTGAGGAATTTCTGCTGTAATGTCCTGTGGCTGAGATGACTGTCCTCCAACAACCGCAACCATTTTCCTTTGTGCTGAGTATGCCACCGACCAGTTCTCCCCCTTGATTCTAACAGTTTTGCTGGGTCTCTTATGCTGCACTCAGTCAAATGCAGTCTTGATGTCAAAAGCTGTCACTGTCCCCTGACCTGTGAAATTCAGCTCGTTTGTTAATTTTTGAACAAAGGCTGTAGTGCAGTTTGGAGCTGAGTTGCCCTGGCGGAACCCAAACTGAGCTTCAGTGAACAGATTAGTGCTGAGCAAATACAGCTTGACAGCACTGTTGATGATACCTTGAATCACTTTACTGATTATCAAAAGTAAATTGAAGAGGGAGTAATTAATCGGCTTGGATCTGTCTTGCTTTTTGTGGATACCACATACCGTTATGAGCCTAGTTGATGCTACTACTGAACAAGTCAGATCCCAGAATGACATCTGGTGTGATGGATCTCTTTCCTTTATTTAATGTGGTGGTCATTCACTGAAACATATTAACACAAAGCTACAGATTTTCTTTAACAATAAAACAGAACTTTATTACACACAGGGAGCAAAATAAAATAGAGTAAGTGAAGCTAGTTAAATGCAGAACATTAATTGAAAAATCTTAAATACACAGCAAAACAAAGTCATATCTATTCCCCAAAATCATCACTTTGTAGTGATCAAAATCCAGAGAAATTATCCTGCTATATTAAATAATTAAGTTCAATTCAACTGCTTCTCCTCAGTTCTGTCCACTGATTGTGAAGTGTTCTTACATGAATACTCATGACATGGAAAGTGTAGACTTTCTCAATGTTTTAGTAATCTGCTGATTTCTAACCAAGCACTCCTGATCTGGAAATCTCACAAGCTTAATGGTTACACCAAGGTGCCTAAGCTTCCTCTGAACTGTCCCAGATACCGTTCTAGGAAATAAAGTTCTGATACTAGTCAGGTCACCTTCAAAACTGCCCTAAAAGCTTTCAATTGTTGGGTTTTGTAAGGTAAAATCTATCTGTGATTATTTTCAGCAAAAAGCAAGCCAATAGCTTTCAATGGTTATATTCCCTATCATAAACCTGATTGGAGAAGGGCTTCTGAGCCTGGGGCTTATCCGCTCCATCTGCTTTACTTTTTGTTTCTTTGCTGTTTATTTCTCTCTTTTCTTTTTTTTCTCTTTTATCTCATTTTACTTAGCTTTTGTTGAAGCGTGTGATTGAAGTGGCGGTGAGTGGCCCAGTGTGGCCTCGAGGAGGTGAGCAGATGCTGCATTGACAAGGTGGTTCTAGCGCTGACTGATGGTGGCACAGTGGTTCAGTGGTTAGCACTGTGGCCTCACAGTGCCAGGGTCCCAGGTTCAATTCCACCCAAAGGTAACTGTCTGTGTGGAGTTTGCACATTCTCCCTGTGTCTGCACTGGTTACCTTCAGGCGCACAGTCCAAAGATGTGCACAGGTTAGGTGGATTGGCCGTTCTAAATTGCCCAAAGTGTCCAGGAATGTGCAGCCTATGTGGTTTAGCCATGGGAAATGCAGGGTTACAGGGATGGGTCTGGATGGAATGCTCTTCGGAAGGTTGGTGTGGACTCAATGGGCCAAATGGCCTGCTTCCACACTGTAGGAATTCTATGATTATATGATTCACATCACTGGCAACTTTGAGTATCTGGCAGCACCTGCATCCAGCACAGATTCATGGAGGCAGAGGTGAGTTTGAGCCCAGTCTAAGACCCTGTGGCATTGACAATGGCTGCATTGGTGAGGTTCAGCAAGGACTTACACTAGTGTGGGCATTGGTGGAGGCAAGGTGCCACTGAAGAGTGGTGACATTCATTGCAGAGGCAGTGGCGCGGCAAAGGGGACTCATGCCTGGCCAATAGGCCCATGGCGAGAACTTAACAAGAAGGGCTGTGAAGTTGAACACTTTTCTTTATTTCTTTATCCTTCTGCCTTTATATTCTATGTTTTGGTTTAGTTTCCTGTATTGCAAGATGGCGCTGGTGTGTGGCGACACAATACAATAATTTTCACTGTATTTTGTAACAAAATACATGTGACAATATATAAATCATGTGACAAAATACGTGTGACAATATATAATTGGGGAGGCGATGGCCTACTGGTATTATCGCTGGACTGTTAATCCAAAAACCCAGATAACTTTCTGGGGACGTGGGTTCAAATCCAGCCACAGCAGATGGTGGAACTTGAATTCAATATTAAAATATCTGGAATTAAGAATCTAATGATGACCATGAATCCATTGTTGATTGTCAGGAAAAACCCCTCTGGTTCACTAATGTTCTTTAGGGAAGGAAACTGCCGTCCTTACCTGGTCTGGCCTACATGTGACTCCAGACCCACAGCAATGTGGTTGACTCTGAACTGCCCTCTGGGCAATTAGGGATGGGTAATAAATGCTGCCTAGCCAGTGACACCCTCATCCCATAATTGAATAAGGGAATCAAATAAATAAAGCAAATACTCAAACCCAGTATAAACAATCTTCTATTAACACACTAGAGGTTTACAGTCAACCTGCTGTCTGATAAGATGCTATATTAGGTCACTGTTGTCGAAGGACTTTCTGACCATTTTTTTAAACCCTTCTCCAAAGTAAACAAACCTATATGCCAATTGCCTAAAATCTGAACTGTAAAATATATAAACCACACACAATGCATCACTATACTTGGACAATTTTCCACATTTTCTGGCAGGTGACAGTATTTTTGCTGTACTAGAACAGTTTGGACACAGCTGCAGCTAGTTCTGGAGAAGTCTTCAGTACTATTGTACAATGTTGTGAGGGCCCATAGCCTTTTAGTGTCCAATGCCTTCTAATGTATTCTCGTGGAGTGAATTGAATTGATTGCAGACTGGTAATTGTGATGCTGAGTGCCTATGTCAGAGGACAAGATGAATTATTTATTTGATACTTGTGCATGAAAATACTTTCAAATGCTTCAGTTTTATCCTTTCCAATGATGTGCTGGGCTCCCCATGATTTAGGAGGAGACATTTGTGGAGCCGCTTTCTCCAATGAGCGGTTTAATTGTCCACCATCATTTCCAACTGGATATAGCGGGTTTGCAGAGCTCAGACCTGATCAGTTGATTGTGGAATTAACTCTATGATAAAACTGTTTGAAATTATGAAAAATGAGAGCCGGTTGATTGAAGCAAATGGTTTCCCATTGACATGTCCAAAATGGAACCACGGAATTGAAGATTATGTTAAAGAAATGTTGACCAGCGAGCAGGAGCAAATAGTTTACAAATAAGAGGTCACCTATGAAGATAGTTGAGGAAACGTTTTCTTTTCCATGGGTGGAGTGACTTTAGAATTTCCCTTCCTCAAAAGAAAGTAATGCAGAATTTTTAAACATTTTTAAGACAGAGGTAGAAAGATTGTAGATTACCAACAAGATGAAAAATTATCAGGGGTATGCAGGAATGTAGGGTTGAGGTTAAATTCAGATCAGTCATGAACTTATTGAATGGCAGAGAAGGTTTAAAGGGCCAAGTGCCTAATTTTGTTCCTTGTTCATATGTTTGTAACCTGTTCAAACAGGCAGTAATGATTATTCACTCCCAAGATTATTGATTGATGCAGAAACTGTGTTGATTATTGGATTGAGAGGGCAGGAGTTAGGATGAAGGAAAAGGAGTCAAAGAGATGGAGGAACAGAGGGATGTAAATATGATCAAGACTATTTGCTAACATTGGAGGGTTAGGAGCAGCACAAAGTGGTTGGGCTGAATGGCCTGCTTCTGTGCAGTGCCTTGGATGTAACGTCCTACCACGATCCCGGTCCAGTTACAGGATACCATCAACTATGGAAGATACAGTGAACTTGGCATAACTGGATTGGGAAGACTCTTGCATGACTGAATCGTAGAGAGTGGTAATATCCCCACATCAGGTTAAAATGACTGAAGTTAATGTGTATTAAATGAAGTTAATCATTACCTTGAATCGTGTGCATCTTTCAGAGTGAGTGAGCAGCTTATTACACAGTAGGTTTCACACACAACCCCTGCTGATTATTACGATCTGAATATTACCAGACCCTGTGGGGCTTGAAATTCATCTGCATTACACACGCAATTAACCACATAATATGAACACAAAATTAAATATTATATAGAATCTGCAGCACTGAGCCAGGCTATTCAGCCCAACTTGTCCAAACTGGCATTGGTTAGATTGACAATTGAACTCTGTCTAGTGACTGACACGCCACATCCAACCAATGGAAAAACTTGCCAAATTATGATCCAGTCAGCTGGCAGCTTCTGGTATGGCAGGATTCCACTGGGAAGGTCCTTGATAGGGCAAGAAGCTCGACAGTGAGCTTTTAACAAGCTGACTGCAGGCCAGCAAATCAGTGTCCTAAAGACTGTCAGTTGAGGTCAAGTCATTAGGGAATCCAACTGTGAGAAGGTAAATGATTTTCTCTTGTTTCTTACTGGATTGGGTGGGGAGAAGAGGTTCAGGGCTTTGGAGGACAAGGGTAGAGAGAGTGATTATTACCCTCTAGATTCCACCAGTGACTCTAATTGCCCCAATATTTTCACCCACAGGGAATGTAAGTTATTGGCCAGTGGCGAGTTGAGGAACTCTGGGAAGGGAATGGTTGGTGGTTAAACTCCCACCCTTAAACTTGTGAAACACTGAGCTTACACTTAAATGACCACAGTCTGAATTATGAATTCAGGTTGTTTTGTAATTCATGTTTATACAGAATTTCCAGGCACTTTTCCTCTTCACAGATATTGGAATTTTATTCAGATTGGAAGTGAGCCCAGTGGCAGGTTCAGGAGCCCATTCAGATTCTCTACTGTGATGATTTGGTTTTATGATAAGTAGCTGTTTTTGCTGATAGACATTTCTCCACAAGATCTCAAAGGAAGAAAGATTTATTTTTGCAGGCCTTTTACACATATTCACAAATTTAGTACATTGCAAAGCATTTTACAGCAAATGAAGTAGCCCTGTTTTAAGGTGAAAATGCAGCAAAAAATTTGCACTCAGCAAGCTCTCACAAGCAGAACTAAGACTTGTTTTGTGACATTTGTTAGAATCATAGAATCCCCACAGTATGGAAGCAGGCCATTCAGCCCACTGAGTCTGCACCAACCCTCCAAACAGCATTCCACCCAGACTACGCACCCACCCCCCCCCCCCCCCCCCCCCCCCCCCCCAGCTCCCCACCATCCTTGTAACCTTGCATTTCCCATGGCCAATCCATCTAACCTGCACATCTTTGGAATGTGGGAGGAAACCAGACCACCCAGGCAAAACCCATGTAGACACAGGTAGAATGTGCAAACTCCACACAGACAGTCGCCCAAGGGTGGAATCAAATCCAGGTCCCTTGTGCTGTGAGGCCGCAGTGCTAACAAATTATTGAGCCACCATGTTAAGGAATAAATATTGGAACTGCCCTGCTCTTTTTAGAATAGCAGAATCTTTTATGTCCATCTGTCAGAGAAGACAAGTTCCCTGTCTGTTCATAAAACAGCACTCCCTGCACTGGATATGTCAGCTTGGGTTGTGTTTCAAGTCTCCAAGTGGGTGACCCTCAGGTAAATGAAGAAATTGAGGCCCATTAATAAGTTCAGCTGAGGGAGGATCACTAACCAGTTCAATCTTCTCCTTTCAGAATCTAAACACATCTGTCTCCCGTAACAGCATTCCATTATTCATCAAATGAATTCAATGTCCCAACCATGTACACCCTTCCTGACAATTTGCTTCAGCTACTGATCACACTCTGTGAAGAAATACTCCCATTTTACTTCAGACCTGCCCTGAGAAAGCTGCAACTATCCCTTGTGAGAACCTAGAAAAGGCACAAGACCATTCAGTGCCTCAAGCCTCCTGTCTTGGAACTGGAGGGGGCCATTCAGCCCTATTTGAGCCTGTTGCCCAGGAATAGGTGAAGGCCATTCAGCCTCTTTGTACCTGTTGCACAGGGACAGGACGAGGACATTCTTCCCCACTGAGCCTGTTTTAGGGGAATAGGAGGCCATTCAGCTTTCCCAGGCTTTTTCACTGTTCAACAAGATTATAGCTGATCTGCTTCTTATCTGCATCTATCAATATTGGTCTTGTAATGTTTCATCCCCTTACCTCATCAACTCTACCATCTGAATTAAAATTAATGTTCAGAAAATGTTTGGGCCCCACAGGGGCTTGTGACCCTCCTTCCTCAACTAATTGCTAACTCACAAAGCGTTGGCCAGATTCAGAAGAAGTTGTTTCAGTCAGTTAATTGGAATCTAAAACAGTAATTTCATGTCAAAATTTTTAAAAAAGTAATTCAGCACATCAGCTAAAGATTTAACAGTGAATACTGAACTTCACATCAAAATTTAAAAAGTAATTTAGTACAGCATCTAAGGATTTTGGAAACAGTTCTCAGAAAGAAGATCTGCATTTCAGGCTGCAAAAATCTCAACTCTGATTTTCTTACCCCTTCCCCCACTACCCTGTAGACTCACCTCCAAACTATCATCTGCGTTCACCATCCAGCAGTCTGTCCATGTGGCCACTATAAGAAAGCAGGCAGAAACCAGGGAAATGAAGAAAGCCACAAACTGCAGCACCTGCCTCATCCTAGCCCGTCTCAGCCTGGACTACCAAAGTGCAATCAACACTCGGGAGGTCAACAAACAGCTCACAGTCCCAGATCTCAGTCCTTCGCTCGCAGATTCCTGCACTGACTGACTTTCGTCAAATTTCCCTGAATACCAGGTGACTGATTGGACATTCCAACCAATCAGGTCGTCACATTAGTACAAATCACTGGAGTTTTTTATTTCAGAGTTGAGGAAGTTACTTGTGTAAATTCAAGGACATTGTAAAGGACAACAGGAAAGCAATGAGGAGCTGGAACAAAGCTGGGATGAAGGAAGAGGTCATAGTTAGTGAATTATTATACATTGATGAATTAAAAGATACAAGCAGCAGAAATGAGTTGGCTGACAGGAATACGGGTCAGAACAAAAAAAGTCTCAGGAATGGTACAATATAACCAAAGAACCAACAGTAAGGGCCAGGTAGGCAAGTGAAATGGTTTGTGATTCAAAAATGGAACTGGCAAGGTTGCTTTTTATTTGGAAGAGATGTTTTGAAAGGATGAAATATTTAGTTGGAGTAAAGAAGGATAATTTGTTTCTAGTGGTGGAATGCTCAATTACCAAAGGACACAGGTATAAAGTGATTGAAAAAAAAATCAAAGGGGAGAGGAGGAAAACTGTTTTTAATGAACTGCGTAAAATTAAGCTTTTAAAAGGAGATTGGTTAAATATTTGATGGAAAATGATTGTTGGGAATATTGGAGAAGGAGCAGAAGGAGTGGCAGTAACCAGATCGATCTTCAAAAGTGTCTGCAGAGATTTGATGGGCAGATTGGCCTTACTCAGTGAGGTATTCTCTGCCTTGACCGTTTCTGGATGTATGCGTGGAGTAATGTCGAGGTGAAGGAACATCAAGGATGGTCTGGAATGATGATCTCAAGACCAGCTGACAATAGAAAGGGATGTAGATGACTGAAGCAGTCAGGCTACTTCAGAAAGTGCAGTAAGTGGACACTTTAGCTCCAACACTGCAATTGACCTGTCAGACTGGATTTTAGTTACCTTAGAGGATATTGCATTCCTGTTTGATATGATGACAACAAGACTGCATCAATTCCTGCGACCTATTGAAATTTGGGGAATCAAAATGAATTCATCCTTTCACCACCAATTCTCAAGTTCCAAAGTGACCTGAAGTAATAATCCTTACTGGTGATACGTGGATATTTTATTCAGTAAGAATCAGCACAGTGGCTCAGTGGTTAGCACTGCTGCCTCACAGCACCAGGAACCTGGGTTCGATTCTACCCTCAGGCAACTGTCTGTGTGGAGTTTGCACATTCTCCCCGTGTCTGTGTGGGTTTCCTTCGGGTGCTCCGGTTTCCTCCCACAGTCCAAAGATGTGCAGGTTAGGTGGATTGTCCATGCTAAATTGCCCATAGTGTTCAGGGATGTGCAGATTAGGTGGGTTACAGGGACATGGGTCTAGGTGGGATTCTCTGAGGGTCGATGTGGACTTGTTGGGCTGAAGGGCCTGTTTCTGCACTTGTAGGAATTCTGTGAAGACCTGATGCATACTAATGTTACAGTGGTTGTATCACAGGGCAATTCCCCTTCAGTCTGTCTCTCTCACCTAAAACATTTCACAAACAGTATTAAAATATTATTCAATGCATTTATAAAAGAGCACAGATAATTTTACTATGTCAATGAGTCTTCATGAAGCGATTCTCTGGATTTTTGCAAACCCTAAGTTCCTATTGAGCCTGCAGGGGACATGGGATTGCTTAATTTGCCCTCTGTTGTAGTTACAAAGGAGGCTGTTAAATACAGAAACAGAAAATGTTATTGGCTCTGTTGACAGAAGATTTCTTGAGAACTAATTGAAGGTTTAACCATGTTACTTCCAATGCAGTCACTTCCATGATCTGGATATCTGCCATATCTGAATCCTGACTGATCGATTCCGGATACAGAATGTCAATGGGAATTACAACACTCTTATCCCAGTGCTGAAAATCATTCACAAAAATTAGAAAGAGGAGCCAGAGAGCTAATTGTTATCTCAGACTATCTCTCCCAAAAAAGTATATTCCTGAGTTACTCAGGCTCCAGTGAGTGGCTGATCCATAAAATGAGGAAATTTGCCTGAAGTGTGAAGGGGTCAACACAATGGGAGTGACAGTATGAAGCTGCACACTGTCTCAGGATCTGATTCGAGAAAGGCAAAGAAAATAATCAGATAAAAGACCTTGGTCCAGACGAACAATATTTTAGATGCAGTAAATCTGAATTTAAAAAAAGACAGAAAATTCTGGAAATACTTAGCAGGTCTGGCAGTAACTATGGTGTGAGAAACAGAGATGATGTCATGGAAATGTCACTGGACTTGTAATTCATGGGTTTGAATCCCATCAAGGCAGATGGTGAAATTTAAATGCAATTTAAATGTCTGGAAAGAAAAGCTGGCGTAATGGTGTAGACTGTGTAGGCAATGTAGATTGTTGTAAAACCCCATCTGGTTCATTGTGCCCTTTCGGGGAGGAAACCAGCTGTCCTGACCCAGTCTTCAAATCCACTGCAGTGTGGTTGGTTTCAACTGACTCCAGACAAATAGAATTGGGCAAAATACACTAGCTGAGCAAACAACACCCACAACCCATGAACAAATACAAAAATAAATTCCCCAAGGTAGAGTTAGCACCTTCAGGAACTGTATCCCTGTGAGAGTCAGCACCTTCAGGAACTGTATATCTGTGACAGTCAGCACCTTCAGGAACTGTATACCTGTGAGAGTCAGCACCTTCAGGAACTGTATACCTTTGAGAGTCAGCACCTTCAGGGACTGTAACCCAGTGAAAGTCAGCACCTTCAGGGACTGTATCCCAGTGAGAGTCAGCACCTTCAGGGACTGTATCCCAGAGACAGTCAGCACCTTCAGTTGAAACAAAGAAGGCTGCAAAATACCTGAACTTGGGAGGATTGCCAGAATAAAAGTATTTTGTACTTGTTCTAGGAAGCATGATAAAACTTCACCACAAAGGGAATAAGTCACCATCACATGTGACACCTGCAGAAGGAATTGAAACTCACCAACAAAAACTAAAAGCCTCACATCACTTATCCATCAACTGTCTGAGAATATGTCTCGTTTACAGAATGGATATATGCTAGATTTGTTTATTTGAAAGTTTTGTTTTCTTGCTCAGAGTTGAGGTTTTGTGTTTGATTTTAATGCCAGGCACGACAGCACAAATTGTGGCAGATATTAAAATGTAGTACTGAGGGAGTGCTGCACTGTCAGGGAGTCAGCACTGTAGGAACTTCGCACAACCAGAGGGACCATAGTAAGGGAATGCTGCAGTGTCAGAGGGTCGACATTGAGTGAATGGTGCATTGCCAGAGGGTTAGTACTGAGGGGTGCTGCACTGTCCAAAGGTCAGTCATGAGGGAATACTGTACCTTTGGAGGGTCAGTACTGAGGGAGTGCTGCACTGTCAGAGGGTCAGTGTTGAGGCAGTTCTACATTGTCAGAGGGTCAGGAAGGAGGGTCATTGTTCAGGAATAATGGATGCTGCACTGGCGGAGAGTCAGTGCAGAGTAGGCACTGTGCTGTGGAAGGTCAGTACAGAGGGAAAGCTGCATGGTCTCAGCCGCATCCTCGCCTTTCATGTACACACACTCTTAGTCAATAGTCTGGCACAAAAGTTGCAGGTGTTTGCAGACTAGCTCTTACAATTTTTATTCCCTCTGAATCCCAGGCAGTAATTTAGGCCTCCTACTCCCAGATCTGAGCTCAGGCCCCCCACTGTAAAGTCCTGTAGCCCTGTTACTGGGCTCTGATATATTTCCAGTATCCCCTTTCTGTATTACTGTCCTGAGGAAGCCAATGCAGAAGGTTCATAATATGTTATTGTTGCTGGGGTATGTGGTTTTAACGTGGAGGAAGATTTGATTTAAGGTTTCAGTTTTATGACAGTATAGCTAGTTTTAACTTTTATCAAGGTCAGAAAGTCATTTTGAAAGGTAAATTAAAATGACTATATTTCCAACAAATCGCATGACTTTACATAAGTGTACAGCAAGCCACTTTGGGAGATAATTGTGACAACGTTTGCTGACTTAGATTTTTTTTTGAGCAACTAGACCTACAATACCAGAATTTTGACACAGCCACACTGAAAGAATGGCAATATATTTCCAAGTCAGGATGGAGAGTGGTTTGGAGGGTAACTTGCAGGTGGTGATGTCTCTGTTGCAGTCAGAGCTGGGGAGAAGTCATTAGTTGATTTGAAGAAAGCCAGAAACAGTTGGCTGAGGAGGTAGCAGAGAGCAAGAAATCCCACCAAATTGCTGAAGACATGAGATTAAGCAATCCATGTTAAGGAATATGTGAGCTCAGTTAGTAGCTGATTGAAATGAGTCCAGAAGAGACACCAACTGAAGAAAATAGCATCAAATAATTGCATAAATTTGCTGTAAAGCAATAGATTACAAATGTGCAAGCTAAACACGATGTGTGACTCTTCACTAAAGTTTCAGAATTCTGTGAGGTTGTTGTTGGGATTAACTGGCTTCTTTCTGATATTTGTAATGAGACTTTTTCAAGTAGTCTTGTATTATTTAACACAGTTCATGTTTTATTTTGTTGAAAATACAGTGGCAGTCTCTTCTGAATCAGTTCAGTGACTGACCACAAAATAGCAAAGGTAAAACTTCTGATCTATCAAGCCAGCTTTCAGTCTGGGATCTGACTTGTCCAGTCCAGTCAGCTAGAGTCATAATGAAATTTCACACTAAAGGTACTGGAGATGCAAGAGTGCTATCTGAAAGCTACAGCTAACACTTAAACTATAGCTCAACACATTAATGTAATGTTTAAAGTTTTGAGGCAAGAATGTTTTTCTAGTGCACAAGATCAAGATTGAAAATTGCATTTATTTAGTGCCTTGCATCATAAAACATCCCAAGGACATTTAACAGGAACGTTACCTAACAACAGTTGGTTTTGTAAAAGTGTTTAATTTCACATCAGAAAGGACAAGACAGGTAGAGAGGCAAGAGGACTTTGGGGAGGGAACTCCAGAGCTTAGGGACGAAGCAACTGATGGCACAACTACCACTAGCAGA